CCAGTGGGTATTTATAGTGCAAGCGCTGAAGTGTGGTCCCCAGGCTGTGCACACCATAGGGGGGACAAGCTTGCTGGGTCAGTGAGTGGCAGTGCTCACCCATCCATCCTTCAGCCCTTCCCCAGACTTCTTGCATGCCTGCAAGCCAAGGCTATAAGTGGAGCTGTTATCAATATTCCTCCTCCTGGATTTGTCGCATCCTGATGCAATGCACACCGATGACTTGTCAGCTCCTCTTGGTGCTCAACCCATCTGATGCCTGCATTTGTGGATGCAGTGTCTAATCAATCCACTTCGATGCTCATTTGCCTGAACTCGTGCCACAGCACTGTCCTTGGGGAACTCCCCATCACGTGATCTCAGCCCTATGGATAAGCAGCATCTGCTGGTGTGAAAAACCCCTCCAGTTCCCCAGCCCTGTTAATGAGCATCTTCAGGCCTCTACACCAGTCCCAAACCGACTGCATCGCTTTCCTGAGGACAGTGAGATCCTGAGCCAGAGCCCACAACAAAACCTCATTGGGAAAAAACCATCATGTGAACAAATGCACAATTTTTCAAGATTTAGTGGCGATTCAGGTGGTGAGAGTGCATTGAAATGGTTAATTTGCCCATTGGCCAACAGTGCTGAGCATCTGTGAGGAGAAGAAAGTCAACCCCACGTGTCCCATCCTACAGCAGGAGGGAATGTTTGCGTCATCCCCGGGCTTTTGCACTGCTCCCGTTTTCACCTGGCCTTGAAAACTGAAGGCAACGTAAGAGCAAATTCACAAAGCAGCACACTGGGACTGAGCGCTATGAATTATTCTTCTTTTAATTTCACATGGTTTAAAATACAATATGAAATAAGGCTACAGTATATAAAAAACTCTCCAGCAAAATGATGTGCCAGCATCAGCAATTAAAACAAAACCAACCCCTTCCTTCTTTAAGTATTCAATGGAGGAGGGGCGTTTTTTGTATCCTTTAAAAAAACGACAACACAACACACGGACACACACACACATCGCTACATCTCTACGCTACCTCAGCTCAGTTTTTAAAAAGCACCTGCTTTTTCCTTGGTTTTTTTTTTGTATTTTTTTTTTTTTAAATCTTGCTTTTAAAGTTTTTTGTTTTTTTTTTTTTCCCACTTTTAAAAAATATAAATTATATGAAAATACACGTTGGAAAATAGTCAAACAGCACAATATAACAATCTCTCTCTCTTTCTTTTTTTTTCTCTTCTCCTATCTGTATCAGCTTAAAAAAAAAAAAAATTCCCATCTGTAAAAACAAAATGTAACAACAAAAAAAAAAAACCCACTTTTTTCTTTTTTTTTTTTTCTTTTTTTTTTTTTTTTTTTTTTTTTTTTTTATTTTATACTGAGGCAGTTAATTCCTGGAGATATTCCATTATAACATATATGCATACATAGATTTATCATTTATTTAGACCTCTTTGGAATGTAGACAACAGCTCACGGATGTTGGAAAGACCCCACCAGAGAGCAGAGCGCACTGAGGAACCCAACGCTTGTGATGCTCACAGCAACGTGGCAGCCAGGCCCCAAAGCTCTGCAGAAAAGCCCTCCAGAAGACAACGAGGCAGAAAGTGGAGATGCTTCCTGCAGCCTCTGCATTGTTTGGTGCTAACCAGGATTGCTTTGCGGATCCGGCGTTGGGTTGGGAATAGGGGAAGAGGTTAAACTGTGTGATATTTGCTGATTCTCACCGAACCGCTCTCTGGTTTGGTGGGCATGGTGAGGATGGGTTGGGGTTGGACATGGTGACCTCGTGGTCTTTTTGGATCTTAATGATTCTATCACTTCTCCGAAGTGACTTCATGTGTGACCATGCCTGGAGCTGGATGGTCGTAGTGCGTAAATAAATGGATCTGCACTTGCACACACACGGCTCTGCACTGGTTATAGTCATCATACACAGAGATGGAGGATAGATCTAGGCAGATCTGCTTGCTTTTTTTCCAGCATTTTATATCTCTTTCTGGGGCCTCTTTCCCCTGATCTTTGAAATGACTCTTTCTTTGGGAAACGCACCTTAAAAAACCTTTGGGAAAGGAAAATCACAGCAGTGCAGAGAGCTGCACTCCCCAGGTTGGGGGACAAAGGGGACAAAAGGGACACAGCGGGTGAAGGGGATGTGCCCCAGTTGGTCAGACACCAAAAAACAGCAGATCAGAAGCAGGACAAAGAAAACACTCCAAATCACTGGAAACCTTCCAGAACAAGACAAACCCAAACACAATTCCTGAGTGCCACCTGGATCTGCCAAGGCTGGAGCTCACTGCCATGCAGAGCAGCCAGCAGAGGAGCGAGTCCCATCCCTGGCAGCTCCCTCTCAAACCCATCCTGCTGGTTCAGCTTGTGTGTGAGTTCACCAAATTTTCATGGCCTTGAAGAACAGGAGGTCACACCTCCCTCTCCAAAAGTCAATGCGCAATTACAAAAGTGGGAGAAAAAAGAAAAAGAAACAAAAACAAATCCTCACATTTCCAGTGTATAAACAGCACACAGCCCTCTCTGGGATGGTCTCTAGAATGGAAATAAAGAGTTGAAGAAAACAGCAAACTGGGAGATGAGGGATTTGGCCTGGTGGAATGGTGGAGTTGGTACCCAAAACTCTGACTCCTTCCATCAGAGTGAAATATTATCCCTGTTTTCTGCTTGAAAAAGGCACTTCAGCTGCAGCAGGGCCAAGCAGGAGGCATTTCCTAAGGCATGGTGTGATGCCACAGGCAGGAGCTCAGCCACGTAGCAGCACGTGGGGCTGAAAGGGGGATTCTGTAAGCAAAGCACACTTTGCAGTCGCATGCAAGAGAGCAACACCAAAAGCCTAAGAAAATCCTACCGAGTGCTGAAAACCCTACAAAGCTACCATGTCCTGCTGGGATGCCCTTTCACTAATCCACTGCCACCTGTTTCTGTGCCATTTCCTTGCCCCTTTGCCCAGCAGCTGCAGCAACCCTTGTCTCTGCCCCTCGGTGAGCCAGTCCCTGCTGGGTAAAGCTGTGGTGCCTGTTCTCACCCAGGCTCCCCAGTGCCCACGTTGTCCTCCCTCCCCTCCAGCTCAGAGCTGCTTTCCCCACCTGCCCAAGGAGCCCAGCTGCCTTTCACCTCCCAGCAGGCAGTTAGTGAAGGAGTGGGCCACCCCTCCTTTGGTGCACGCACCTTTCACTGTCCTTGCATCCTATTTTCCTTCCTTTCCATCTGTCCCACTACTTTTTGCACACGCTCAGTGGGACAACATGTAGCCCCAACGCTGTGAGCGTACCCAACATCCTCCCTTACCTACACTTCCATCTGCACCCCCTCCACCAGCTCTCCCGAAAGCCACCCTCCTCTTCCCCCTGGCAGTGCCTCTGGGTGGATGCAGCTGCACAAGACACTCAGATGGACGAATAACACACAAAAAAAGCTACTTTTGGTTCAAAAGCATAATACTGTCTTTAAAAATAAAATGCCCAACAGCTCTTTGGGGCAAACACCCCAATCCCACAGCCAGACCTGCACGGGTTGTGCCCTGGGGTCACCTCCAGGACTGTTAATTTTTACCACCGAGTCTTCAGTGCCACACTGAGCCCAGCCCTGCGGGGTCTTTGCCCAGCAGAGTGAGACTCACTCCAGTGCAGGTAAATGGGGTAGAAAAAAATCAGCACACAGGAGCAGCCCCCCAGAACTCATTGTGCTGCTCTCCTGCACTCAGGCAAGCACGAGATGTGTCACCAACCCCACCACCAACAGTCATGTGTTTCATGTTAATCACACCCTGACACGGTTTGCGGATCAGGCTCACAAAGGGCAGTAAAGATCCCATTTGCAAAGGCCAATTTCCTTTCTGCTGGTGCCCATGCTGGTTAAGACATACAGCAATAAAGACGGAGCTGCTCAAAACAGGAAGGAAGAAACATTTCCTTTTGGTTTTCCAATGTTTTCCTGATTTTTTCCCCTCACCAACTTCTGCAATTTTCATTGACATCGGGGGATTTCTCCCCAGTCCTCTCCAAAAAATGAGAAAATTCCTGAAGGCACCAAAGTGTTCCTCATAGAATCATAGAATGGCCTGGGTTGAAAAGGACCACAATGATCATCTAGTTTCAGCCCTCCTGCTATGTGCAGGGTCACCAACCACCGGACCAGGCTGCCCAGAGCCACATCCAGCCTGGAGCAAAAACTCCATTGGAAAAACACAAAAGCCATTTTCACTGCAAAAACCTCGGTAAGCTTTGGAAAGTCACTGCATGCACAAGGAGCAGATGGAAGAGAGAGACTTATTTTGAACAGCAACGACAAAAAGGTGCCGTTGGAAATCTCACCCAGCTTTAGCAGCACACAGCAGAGCAGAGCAGAGCGCGAGGGCTGCAGGATGGGAGCAGAGACCCCCGGCCAGCAGCAGCAGAGCTGGGGCTCCATCACATCCCACCCAAAAACCACTGACTGCAGCGCTGCCCTTCTCCTGTGGGGTCTACAGAAACCATTTTCTCTTTTTCCTCACTGTGATAAAACTCTGCTGGCATAACAGAAACAAACACACACAATATTGCAATACTGAGACCATCTTAGAGCTTAAGACTATTAAAAAAAAAAAAAAAA